AAGCCCCAGCTGACAAGCCCGGGAGTGAGCGGCTGCCCGGTCAGACCTCCTGCCGCACCCCCGCCCCGCGGAGGGCGGGGGGCCCTGCGTCTGCCAGGACAGTCAGGCCCACGCAGGGAGCAGCAGATGTCCCGCTTCGTCCGGCTTTCAGCCGGTCACCCGCGCACACAGCACTCCTTCCCGTGGGCACAGCCACGCAGGAGGTCCAATCAGAGAGCAGAAGGCGGACCCCGGGCACCAACCGTGTCCTCGCGAAGGGCACTGCCACCCAGCAGCGGCTCGCCCTCTGCAGCACCCGCTCCTCTGCTCCGGGGCGGGCCTGTCGGGGGAGGGGGGGTCGCCACCTCGAATGGGGGAGATGCGCACAATTGCTGCCTGCCGCCTGTCTCCCCCCACCGCCCTCCCGCCCCCGCTCCCGCCCCGCCACGCAGAGACCCCTCTTTTATTAACGGTGAGACACCCAGCCAACAACCCTGTGCGTCCTCCAGTCCTTCAGGTCAGTTTTGGGGTTGGGTGTCTTCAGCAGTATCTTAGGATGGGTGAAGTTCTTCTTCATTGAAAAAAAATTCTATTGCCCTGTGGCTCAGTGGACTGAGCAGGGGCCTGCGAAGCAAAGGGTCGCCAGTTCGATTCCCAGTCAGGGCACAGGCCTGCGTTGTGGGCCAGGTCCCCAGTAGGGGGCGCATGAGAGACAGCCACACATTGATGTTTCCCTCTCTCTCCTCCCCTTCCCCTCTCTCTAAAAATAAATAAATACATAAATGAATGAATGAATGAATAAATAAATAAAATTCTGTTGGTTTCTGCTTGAGGTGGTGGCGCGAGGCTGAAACAGTGATAAAATACTGCCAGTCTGTGATATCTGGACATGTGCGGTTGAGTGTTTCACCCACATCGAAGAGTCAACTTGCAGATTACGTGCTGTCATGAAAACATTTTACAATAGCAGTTAACTAAAAATTGAATAGCTCTGAACTGATAATCCAGTGTGGGTTTGTTAACGTATTCTAACTTCATTTCTCACTTTCTAGGCTAACGTGCACGGTCAGTATTTTTTTTTTAATGACTTACTGCTAGTGATGTTTTTTACCTTTAACCTCAAGCGCAAGGCCACACCTATGGCTGCTCCCCGACTGGGCGTGCGTAAGCACTGCCCGCAGGGACGGGCGTAGGGCCACCGTCCAGCCGTGCTAAGGCCGCCAGAGAGCAGAGGAGGTGGCTGTGCCCTAAGTCCTGCTGCTGTGGCCGTGCTCCCAGCCCTCTCCGCAGGAAGGGCAGACACACAGGGATGTTCCCTCCCCAGTGGCACCTTTCCACGCCTGTCCCCACAGGGTTTCAGAGAACTGGAACCGAGTGTGGAGGGTGAATGACAGCCAGCACTGCTGGGAAGGTCCCTGCCCTGAAGGCCCAGGGGGCCGGACAGCCTGCACACTCCCCCTGACCCCCGACGGCCTGCCTAGAGCAGGGGCACACTGGAGCTGACCGGCCGCCTCCCCACACACCGTCAGCCCCGCGAGCCGGACCCCTGCCGCCCCAGGGTGGGGGGAGGAAGGGCCTGCTGGAGGCCCCGGCACTTCTCGGGGGAGCCCCCACTCATCCTCCCACTGAGCTGCCTCTCACCTTCTCCGTCTTCTATGCCAAGTCTGAGCCCGGCTCCGTGACAGCCGCAAAGCCCCCTTAGTGACCTGCGCGCCCCCTTCCGCCTAGGACGACGCCCGGGACACGGAAGGAGCTCAGTGAACTGGGGGCGGACAAAGGAAGGGAAACTCGAGGGCCCCGAGTCACAGCTCTAGGAGGCGAGGCAGAAGAGAGATTAGGACTTTTGAGGGAATTCCCGGCCCGACGCCCCGCGGGCTCAGAGGCGGCGGCGGGCAGGGCAGAGCGGTGAAGTCACTCAGAGCGCGGCAGAGCGTGGCGTTCTCATTCGGGCACTCACGGAACACTCACCCAGGGTGTCCGTGGGGCGGCCACCGTGGGTGCGGAGGGCAGGGAGGGGGGCAGAGGCCCATGCGCCCTGATCGCAAGGAGAGAGTAAAGCGAGCCAGGAAACAATGAGGTTCCTTCCGACGGCGGACAGACATGTTAAAGGGAGAACACGGGTCCGTCTACCAGGGACGGTGCCCGAGGGGGCACTGTCAGACAGCCCTGCCACGGGGAGGCGTCTCTGGGGAAGCAGCGTGCGCGCTGACGCCCGGGGAGAGGGCGGGCTGTGTGACCTCGGGCAGATCACTCAACCTCTCTGAGCCCAGCTTGCTCATCGGATGCGGAAAGCAAGCCAGTATCTCACAGGGATGGAAGGATGTAACACCAAAGGGACCTAAGTCACCGGCACCCACTTAGTAGGTGATGTGGTTACTGTCACTCTGGTAAGGTTACAGGCCTGTGACAGGAGGGAAGGATCAAGGAGGGCAGAGAAAGGCAGGGTCCGCCCAGACCCGGACTACAGCCCATCCCTTCCCTGCGGGACTGCGAGTTCTAGGGCAGAGGCCAGCGGCCCCCTCTGACCCCCAGAGCCCCGCGCTGAGCCAGGGGCAGCCAAGAACCAGGCGCACGAGGGGCGTGGGGGTCGGTGCCACCTGGTCGCCTGGCAGTCGTGTGCGCGGTCCCTGTCCTCGCGGCAGCCATCTTGGGTGTCCTCCCCGCGGGGAGTGTCGTCACGCTGTCGCCAGAGACAGCGTGGCAGGGGGCGTGCTGCGGGCGTGCGTGGGTGAGCCCCCTCCCATCCGGAGAGCTCCTGGGCTCCTGGGGAGCTCGGGCTGCTGGAGTGGGGAGCTGTCAGGCAGCTGATGGCAGAGGTCCCCAAGATGCAGGGAGCTCTGGCCCGGGCGGGGCCCGGCCCGGCACGGCGAGGGGACTCGGAATCTCTCGGCCCGGGGGATGTCCCGGCAGCCCGCACGCGGGCGCACGCCCCTGCCCGCGCCCGCGCCCGCGCCCGCGCCCCAGCCCCAGCCCGCGCCTCTCCGCCAGCCTCCCCTGTGCTTTTCCCACCCACGGTGGCCACGCCACCACCCGCAACTCACCGCTCCGCTCAGGCCGCAGCCGGCGCCACTCGCAGGACCCGGTTGGCGCAGCCTCACTCACCACCGGAAGCGCTTCTCCCGCCACCGAGGCAGAGCGCGCCGCTGCCGCCCGGAGCGCGCCGGAGCGCGTCCCAGTCCCCGCCCAGAGCCCGGAGGTCGGGCGGGGCGGCGCGCGCCGGCCCCGTGGAAACCCCAGACCCGCCTCCGGAGTCACTAAGCTGTCTCCAGGCCCACGCCCCTCCTGCCCCGCCAGATCCCGGTGCCGGCGCTTTGGGTTTTGGCCCCTTGCCGGCCCCCCTGCCTCCATCACGGTCCCCCAAGTTCATCCTCAGGATGGTGTGGGGCTCTGCTCCTCCTGCTAGGGTCGTGTTTTCCACTTTAGTTTCCCGAGGGACTACCCCTTCCTTAAATTTCTTTATTCCTAGGGTCTTGCACAGAGTCAGCGTCCGTTCATTCCCTCACCCACTCATTTATTTATTCAAACCAGCCTGCAGAAGTGAAACTAAGCTGAAAAATGCAAGGGACATAGAATGCAGATGACGTAATTTCGGGCCCTGGGCTCAGCCAATCCTGAAGCTAGCTTTGCTTCCTGGGCTTCCAGTTATGGGAGCCAACAAATCTACCCACATACACTTAAAAAAAAAATAATCATAAGCTCTTGGGAGTTGGATTTATATCCCTGATTGGGGGGGGGGGGTTGTGACAGAGTTGGTGACATTTGTACCGAAAGCTACTTACTACATTTGAAGAAGTAGGAAAAAGAGGCAGAAGAAATGAGCTGAGGTTTTTGGAAGAAAAAACAAACAAACAAGCATTTGCCTGTGTTTCTACCATTGTTTTAAATAAACAACTTTCAGAAACAGCTTCCGTGGAAGCTGACATAGTATTTTTCAGCTTTATTAACAAGGACGCCGAGTGCTGGGGAGTCCTTGCTAGGCTGGCGTGGGCAAAGGTTGCAAAACCCTTGCACTTTAGTGCAGACTTTGAACCGTTCAGGGCACGGCAAAAATAAAACAAAGCACGCGCCAGCAAAGGCGGGGACATTCCTGAGCATCGTGGAAGTCAGCGGGGCGAGGAAAGAGCTTGCTCACTCTACCCCAGGGCGAAGGTCTCCTCCGCGCAGGACAGGCAGTTCAGTAACCAGCAGGGTTTTTCTTTAAGACCAACAGTGAAACAGAAACTCTAAACTCCAGATTATATTAGCGAAGTTCTGCATGATGGTAAAAGAAACACATAGTCACACAAATTTGAAAAGCTCAGAAAAGTTCAGGTACACACTCCATGTTTCCCCCTGGCACCCTCCCTCCCAGGTTTTTAGTATGTTTGCCCCCAGTGATTTCTTTTCTTCTCTGTCCCGTCAAACTTCCGTTCATCTGCTGCTGGAGTTGCAGCCCTCTGTGTGTGTGACCCAGACGCGTGAGGCCCGGGGTTAGGGACGCCAGCTGTGGAGGCAGATCCCCCGGCTTCTGATTCCTTCCACCCCCACCCTGAATGGCCACGAGACCCCGAAGGAATGAGTTCCTGTGCCCCTCTGGGCCTTGGCTTCTCCATCTGGGACACGGGCACGAGGCTGCCACCTGCCCCACGGGACTGTTAGGACAATGAGCCGAGGTGATGCCCTCGCAGAGATGCGCAGGGCGCCTAGCCCTCAGTGAGCCTCCGTTACTTAGAGCCGCTGTTATTAGGGTCCCAGCCTCAGGGCCCCCACGGCAACTCCCACGGCTCTCTGTGGGCGCTCCCCTCACGGCATCTAAGCACAGTTTCACAGTCCCATCTTCTCTCTCTAGACCGGGGATCCTTTAAAACAAAAAACTCTGTCTTACTCAACTGTCCACCCCCACCGTCTGGCACGATGCGCGATGTGGTGGATGCAGAACTCGTTTGCTCAGTGTGTGATCAGCATCGTGATGCGCGTGTTTTATGGTTTGCTTTCTTCGTTGAAAGTTACATTTCGTAAACATTTTCTCAGGTTGCACTGTCTTCACTCATTCATGCTTTTATTGGATCAATGCTTATTGCACCCCAATTATACATTAGCGACCACTGGAGGTGTGGACCGAAGGGCACACAGGTAACCCCGTGCCCTCGTGCCGCGGCCGCTCGAGGACGGGAGACAGACAATGGACACAGCCCGTGAGCACAGCGCACCGTGGTGGGGGGTGCACCCCATGAGCAGAGGGGCGAGGAGGGAGCGTGGTCAGGGCAGACCCCTGGGAAGGGGTCCTTCCTCGTCTGAACGCCTGCTCCGAACCCCACGGAGTGCCGTGTCGTCCTCCATTCAACCTGCCGAGGGGCCGCCGTCCGCTCAGGCGTGTTTGATTCTGTGCGCGTTTTCTCAGCAGCTCCGCAGAGCCCCACAGAGGCTGGGAGGTCGGGCGGCACCTGTCACGGAGGGTCCATGGCGAGCTGGGCACAGAGTCGCCTCCACAGGCACCTTCTCTAGTCCTCGCAGAAACGCTGGGGGGTTAACGACTTGTACGACGGTTCGATAGGAAAACAGAACCAATAGGATCTATCTATCTATCTCTGTATCTACCTATCTACCCACCGAGGAGTTGCTGGTAAGGAGCTGAAGAGAAGAAGGGGATTATTTATCAGGCCAGCCCAGCGAAGAGACCAGAGACAAAGCAGTCTCCCCACCAAAGACTTGGGGTCAGCTTTAAGAGGTGAGACTGGGCAGAGGTCATACATGGGTCTTCCTTGTAGCTCCGGGGGTCCGACTGAGTCATCTCGGAGCTAAGCCAGCTAAGGTTTGGAGTGTGGTGGGGTCCCCAGGGGACAAAGAAAGGGTGGACGCGGCAGAGTCCGGCTGCCCGTCAGCGAGTCCGCAGTAAGCCCCTGTTCTGGATCCTCCTCGCGGACGGACACCAGGCCTCTCCGTGGGCCCTGGGCCCCGGCTGGTGAACGCAGCATCTCCGAGACCGGGGTTCCCTGAATCTTCGTTCCGCCGTGTTTCGCAGGCCAGCTCAGGGTGTTCAAGCAGCGCGGCGTGCCTGCTCGAGCCTCTGGGACCAGGCTGGCCCAGCCCGCTCTGGCGGCCTCTGGCGCGCTGGGCGGGGGGCTGCTGTTACCCCCCGATGGACACCCACAGCTAGAAGAGCGATTGGGGTCTGCTTGCAGCATTAGCGCCCGGTGTCCACGGCAGGGTTGACCTGCCGCCGGCCCGTTCGTGGGGCTGGACCGTGGTCAGCAGGTGGACAGGCCTCAGGTTTCACTCCTCAAATATGCAGCCCGCAATCCCGACAGCATTCCTGTTTGGGGAGTGAGAACACCGTGTGTCCCCCTGACAAAGCATGTGCAAGAGCCACATGAATTGGCTCTTTGTTTAAAAATAGAGCGGCGCCCGCTGGCCCGTGGGAGGCAGTTCTGGCTTAAATAGGTCCCGGAGGCTAAACACCACCTCGGTTCCCCCCAGAAAGCCGACTCACAACGTTGTGGGTTTAAGGAACTGGCTCATTAGTCAAATTAATCTTAACACAAGAGGGCAGAAACAAGGGAGAAAGAAATACTGCACATTTCTGTCTGCTCAAGTTTCTTGACCTCTTCTGAGAAGAACTTGAACCCTGCTTCCTCTTTGGGTCGCGTCCGTTCACCCCACCCCAACATCCGTTTGCTGAGTATCTGCCCGGCGGCTCCCACCGGCAAGGTGAGCGGCGCTGAGTCCCCCCCCACCCCGCTCCCGTGGTGGGGGGGGCGTGACAATACCCCGACGAACACGGGAGTTCAGGGAATGAAAAACGGAGTGAAGGGAGCTGGGTAAGAGGGCAGAGCAGGGCAGGCACGGGGCGCCGGGCGGTAGCTCAAAAGGGGTGTTCAAGGAAGGCTTCCCTGGGGAGGTGGCCCCGGAGCAGAGGCCTGAACAAAGGTGGGGAAGGTACTTGGTTCTAACACCCGTGTTACAACCCCCTTCACTCAAGTCCTCCCTGCTACACTCACCTCTGCTTTCCTGATGGAGAGAGACCCCGACTGATGGAATGTGGACATTTCTGGACGGCCTTTCAGGACCCAGCGTCCCGTTCTGCTGAGAACACCTGGACTCGGAGTGGCCGCTTTCACCCCGTCTTGTGGCACCCACGAGGTTTAGGCGGGTTGAGCCAGAGGTCAGCGCCAAGGTGGTTGGCTTAATCCTGTCTGCCCCTTGTTAGCGTGTGCGCTCAGGCAAACTCAGGAGCTTCTGTTTCTTCATGAGGCTCCTGACGCTCTCACCAGAGTCGGCCCATAGAGGGTGCTAAGAAAACATTCGTTCCATTCCCTTTTTGCTTTAGCAACTAAGATTCTCTTAGTGTGTTTCATTTTAGCACACACAGGAGCGTGACCGCGACCGTAACTAGACTGCAGCAAACACAAACCACCATTTACACACTGGCTCTGACTCAGAAACCCCAGCTCGTGGGCGTGGGCCGTGCTTTACGACGAGTTAGCTGCAGCGGGTGGGCCTCCGCGGTCCCCGGCTCGGCCGTGGGGTCGCGTGCTCTCTCATGAACCCGCTCAATCTGGCTTTCTGAAAGGTGGCATCTGTTGGTGTACAGACTGCTCCGTTTCAGTTTGTGAGTTGGCTTTTCCTGACTTCAAGTCGTTCAAGAGCTCTGTAGTGATAGAGTCCGCGCCCCGCGTCAGCGAGTGTGATGGGGGCGGCTACCTGGACTCTTTGTGCTTGGGGCGGCGGTCACTCCCCACCCACAGAACACGGGCTGCCCGCTCCCCCCAGGTAGGAGGCGCCTTGCTCGACCCCCGTGCTACCATCTCGCTCGCCACGTGGCTCGGGACCGACCCTTCCCCGAGCCTCCAGCGGTTAAGGGAGCCTCCGTTGATCTGTTTCTTATTTCGTTGCCTGTGCTTCTGGGGTCCGACCGGAGGAAGGACCACTGCTTGCCCACCACAGTTTCTTCTAAGAGTTTTTTATCGTTCTAGGTCTTGATGCATTTTGAATTAATTTTTTAAAATATACTTTATTGATTCTGCTATGACAATTGTCCCAATTTTCCCCTCCTCTGCCCCTCCTCCACCTGGTACCCCCATTCCCTCCGGCAGTTTCCCCCCTTAGTTCACGTCCATGGGTCGTGCACATAAGTTCTTTGGCTTCACATTTCCTGTACTACTTTTAACCTCCCCCTGCCTATTTTGTACCTGCCAATTTGTGCTTCTTAACCCCTGCACCTCCCCCCACCACCCATTCTCCCCCTTCCCTTCCCAGCTGATAACCCTCTGAGTGATCTGTGATTCTGTTCCTGTTCTGGGTGACGGCTTGGTTTGATTTTCTAGATTCAGTTGTTGATCACTGTGAATTTGTTGCCATTTTAATGTTTTCATAGTATCATTCTTCTTTTTCATCAATAAGTCCCTTTAACATTTCATATAATAATGGCTTGGCAATGATGGACTCCTTTAGTTTTACCTTGTCTGGGAAGCCCTTCCATTTTATCTGCCCTTCCATTCTAAATGACAGCTTTGCTGGACAGAGTCATCTAGGTTGTAGGTCCTTGCTTTTCATGACTTTTTGGATACTTCCTGTCAGTCCCTTCTAGCCTGCAAAGTTTCTTTCGAGAAATCAGCTGACAGTCAACAGGAACTCCTTTGTAGATGACTCTATGCTTTTCTCTTGCTGCTTTTATGATACTTTATCTTTAACCTTTGGCATTTTAACTATGATGTGTCTTGGTGTGGTCCTCTTTGGGTCCAACTTGTTTGGGACTCTCTGTGCTTCCTGGACTTGTGTGTCTATTTTCTTCATCAAACTAAGGAAGTTTTCTTTCATTGTTTTTTCAAATAAGTTTTCAATTTCTTGCTCTTCCTCTTCTCCTTCTGGCATCCCTATGGTTAGGATGTTGGTACGTTTGGAGATGCCCCAGAGGCGTCTTATATGATCCTTATTTTTTAAAATTCTTTTTTCTTCTTGCTGTTCCAATTGAATGCTCTCTTCTTCCTTATGTTCCAAATCATTGATTTGATACTGAGTTTCATCCCCTCCACTGTTGGTTCCCTGTAGATTTTTCTTTATTTCACTTAATGTAAACTTCTTTTCTGCCTGGGTCTTTTTTATGCTGTTGCTGTACTCAGGGAGTTCTCTGAGCATCCTGATAGCCAGGGTTTTGAACTCTGCATCTAAAAGGTTGGTTATCTCTGTTTTGTTTAATTGTTTTTCTGGAGTTCTGTTCTCTCCTTCCATGTGGGCCCTATTTCTTTGTCTCCTCGATTTGGCAGCCTCCCTGGGTTTGTTTCTGTGGATAAGGTAGAGCTGCTTTGACTCCCTGTCTTAGTAGCGTGGCCTTTTGGAGAAGAGCCGACCTGTAAATTGTGTGGGGCTGAGCCTTAGGTGATCTCGAGGGCAGGGCAACCCGTTTCACTGCTTTGTGGCTGTGTGGGGGGAGGGCTCAGAGAGAGGACAATACTGCTGGCTCCTGGAGGTTTTCCTGGGAGGAGGCTGTCTCCCAGCCCTCTCCCTGTTCCCAGCCCGTAGGCCACTTGTGCCCTTCCAGCTGGTGCCCTGGTGCTGAGACCCAGAGGGGGTGGGTCTGCCTGAGTGCTAAGTCTATGCGGTCCCTTTGAAAGGAGTCTCCTGATATTCTGGCAATTTCTTCCACCGCCCCAACCCCCACTGGTTTTTACAGCCAAAAGTTAAAGGGGTTTATCTTTCTGGCCCTGGAACCCTGGTTGGCTGGGTGGTCTGGTTTGTGGCTGGGGTCCCTCACTCCCGAGGAATCCCTCCCGATTTTTATCTACCACATGTGAATGTGGGACTACCCGTTCTGCCGCCTCGTTCTGCCACCTCTCTGCACCGCTCCTCACCTCTCCCGCCTCTCCGCCTCTCCCTGAGTCTCTGCCCCTCCTACCCGTCTGGGTGAGTGTGGCTTCTTTAAATCCTTGGTTGTTGGACTTCCATACAGCTCAGTTTTCTGATGGTTCTAGGTGATACTTGTTTTGTAGTTTAGATGTAATTTTTTTCTGTGGTTGTGCAAGTAGGTGAAGTGTGTGTACTTATGCCTCCATCTTGACTGGAAGTCTGAATTCATTTTTATACATGGCATTAGGTAAGAGTCCAGCTTTATTCTTTTGCATGGGAATATCCAGGTACCCCAACAACATTTATTGACAAGAAATTCTGGTCTCCTATTTGTCCCTCTGAGTCTCCCCTCGACCTTCAGATGCCCGAGAGGCAGTCTGAACAGGGGCCAGGCTGTCCCTGTGTTCATCCCTCGTGGTCCGGGGAGGGGGAGGGGAGCGCCGCGACAGGCAGGGGGACGGGGCAGCAGCGGCCACTGCAGCCAGGGACGGACCACAAGAGGGGGCCATCCCTGCTTGGAGATGAGAAGCCCAGCAGATTCATGCATTGACTTACCTGCGTGACAAAGAGAGAAGAGACAGAGAGAGGGCTCTGAGTCTCCTCTTTCAGAAAAGCGCAGAAAAATGGCAGCTTTAGAAGTCTTCCAGGAGTGATGGCGGTCAATGCGAATAGCACTCCCCCTGAGGGCCAGTCGCTGTGAAAGGTTTGCAGGGGTCAGAGGTGTATTCCGCTGGGAAGACCCTGAGCCCAGGCACCTTTAAAGAGACAGACACAGGCGCTGAGTCCCTTACATGGCTTCTAAACAGGGAACTGAGCTTATTTTTATGAATGTTTCCTGCCTCCTACTTTTATCTAAACTTTTTTCCCCCAAAGGGGGAATTTGGATTTGTTTGGATTTTGTCTTCAGTTACAGCTGCACCAGCTTTTCTTTTGTTTCTTTGCCTATAATTAGGAGGGGTTCCTTTGCCAGGATGCAGCTAGAATTCCTTTTGCTAAAACTGAATTCAATAGAGTGATGTCTAAAAAAATCTAAGACCTAATAAAAAAAAACAAAAAAACACACACACATATATACGTGTGTGTATATAGTTTATATTATATATGTGCATGTGTATACACACACACACACGTAATAGATTTACAGAAAGGGTCAAGCGGCACATAGTATTTGCTACAATTCCCAGTAGTCTCAGGTGGGGACACAGAGGGAGCAATTGAAAGTGCTCTTGTCCCTACGAGTCCCCCTTACAAGGTGCTTCTGAAGATTAGGGACACATAACAGTGACTTAATCCGTGCCCCCAGCATGTGCTGGGATGAGGACCGGGAGGCTGGTTGCATGAGCTGAGTGAGAGACGTTGAAGCCTGGATTAGCACAGCGGTTTGTGAGAATGAAGAAAAAGGGACAGATGTTTCCAAGAATCTCAGAAGAAGAGCAGGCAGGTGTGTATAACTTTGAATGCGGAGGCGGAGGGACCAAAGGAAGAAAAAGGCAGACCACTCCAGATTGGTAGGTGACAGTTTTAGAAAGGAAGGGAACTCTGGCTGGTGTGGCTCAATGGATTGAGCACCAGCCTGCAAACCAAAGGGTCACCAGTTCGATTCCCAGTCAGGGCACAGGCCTGGGTTGTGGGCCAGGTCCCCAGTGGGGGGCACAGGAGACACAACCACACATCGATGTTTCTCTCCCTCTCTATCTCCCTCCCTTCCTCTCTGTCTAAAATAAATAAATAAAACCTTTAAAAAAAAAAAGAGGAAGGGAAGGCTTATTTTGGAAGACAAATAGGTCTTCACCCCCTTCCTCCAGAATCTTAAAAGTTTATGTAGAGGTGCTGGCCGGGCTCAGTCCAGATGGTGTCAAGGCACAGCACTGTCAAGGCTGCATCCTTGAAACCAGCTCCTGTTGGAGGAGCGGGGGTGGGGCAGAACGTACATTCCAAGGATGGGGGTCGGGGTAGCAAGGAGCTGCGGGTTGCCCAGAACCATCTCATGGGTTAACCAGTGGTCGCTTCTTCCCAGTGACCCTCTCCAGCAGGGGCTAGATTGACCGGCGATTGTGTCGGGAGGAGGGCGGTCACTTACCCAGTGGCAGAGGTAGACTGGGCACTGGGCCTGGGCTCGTTAACCTTTCTGTGCACTGAAGGAAACTCTCAGGGGGCCTCCAATCATGCACCGTCTCCTGCGCCCCGCAGACAAATGGGCAGCTTTGTCTCTCTGCAGAACGTTGATTTACAGCCTCAGGACCTGCTTTGGCATTTTCCCTGCAAAGCCTCTCCCCGGGCTTCGTGGGTTCTGCAAAAGTCCCGGCGAAGGCTCTCTAGGACGGCTTAAAGTAGATTCTGTGGTTGCACGGCATAAACGCTTTTTGTGAATGGGCCCATCTTTCACGTTAGCTTGGGTGGTGATTTTGCTAGTTGAGAGCGTCCTTTTTTCCCCCAACAACACTGAAACTCATGGCAATTCTGTGTTGGGTTGCGTGAACGCTGTTCATCAGTTAGCACTGGAGCGTACACTCCGTGAGGCCGGGGTGTTTGTTTTGTTCAGTGACGTAGCCCCAACACCGAGAAAAGCGCCTGACCCATAGTGGGCACTCGGTAAATGTTTAGGAAATTCGTGATGGCGTTTGTCACCATTCCATCTCTTCTGAGCGCGCGGACTCTGCCCACACACTGGTTCCGTGTGTCCCCAAAGACGGAGAGACTTGGACGGGAGACATTGGACATGCGTCCGCACACGGTAAACTTTTCACATGTCCTCTGATTATTTAAATCTCTTTACAGGAGGATTGACGGTTTAAAGAAACATTATAACAATGTGTTACGGGGTTTCTGTCATGTGTAGAAGCAGAAATAAAGGTGGGGAGGAGAGACACAGAAGGATACTATTGTAAGGTTGCTCACGGGCCTTGAAGTGACACACTGTAGCCCTGCAGAGGGGCGGCGGGAAAGCTGTGCGAGATGCGGGCGGAGGACGCATGGTGCTGTGAACTGGTGTGCACTATGTCGTATATCTATGGTATGAGATATTAATATGATATATACCTATAATTCTTATCGAACACATGTGGCAAACCTCAAAGCAACCATGAAAACGACACAACACACAATTACAGAAAGGAAGGCTTCACTAAAGGAGACAAAGTGGAATTTTTTTAAAATTTTATTTATTTATTTATTTATTTATTAGAGAGGGAAGGGAGGGAGAAAGAGAGAGAGAGAGAGAAAGAAACATCCATGTGCGGTTGCTGGGGGCCGTGGCCTGCAACCCAGGCATGTGCCCTGACTGGGAATCGAACCTGCGACGCTTTGGTTCGCAGCCCGCGCTCAACCCACTGAGCTATGCCAGCCAGGGCACAAAGTGGAATTTTAAACATGACTCAGCGAAGCCCCCAGAAGGCAGGAACAGAGGAAAAGGGAACAGGGAACCAAGAGTAGACGGGACAACAGAAAACACGTTACGTGCACCACCGTCCTCTGAAACCGCCACCCACAGTGACATGCGTCGACCTCTCCGTTTTCCACAGCGCTGACTTTTGAACTGCGTGTTCACTATGGGTGGGGGTGGGGGGAGAGCAGAAGGCATGAGTTTAGGAATGTCAGAGAAGCTGCATCTGTGGCCCGAAAGGAGCCTCCTCGTTACTGAGCCAAGGTTCGCCCAGCTCTCTCTCTTTTCAAGGATGCTTTCAGCAATTGTTTCTGCTCTAAAATCATCGGCGTTGATAATGCTAAGGCCTCCCAAATAGAGGTCCTTGTTCCACTGGGCGGTTCACTTGTTTTATTTGTTGTGCGATGAAGCTCCTCCACCACTGCCCGTCCCCGCGGCAGCGTGCCTTCCGCATTCATGCACTTTTACAGGCTCCTGGTAGAAATTCGTGGAGAATCATCCTTTTACCTCCCCGCTCCCCGCGGTGCATAAATCACTCCAGAGCTGAAAAGACATGCTAATTCGGGAAACAAAGGTGCTTTTGTGTTGGATTTCCATTCCCGGCAACATCTCATTCTAATACCTGCGTGCATTTATATTCACATTTTTTTTTATGTTCGGGGGGACATTTTTATGGAACAGAACCGAAGCCTTCATTTCACCTTGCCTTCAGGAGAGAAAAACGAAACAGGAAACATACCCAAACCTGTGGCCAAACTGTAGGTCCCTCTGAAGGTCATTCTGTGCCAAGTGGAGAACGCCCTGGGATTTAAGTGGCATTTTTTGCTCTTCCCTGTCCCCTCAGCAGCGATGTTCAAAGATCAGTGACCAGAGTCTGCGAGAAATGGATCTCGGGTGTCCGTCTTAGAATCGTGAGAGGTCGCTCAACCTCCTCGTTTTCCCGGGGACGGGAAACAGAACTCTGGCTTCGGGGGTCCGTGGGTTCCTCCCTCCCGGGCTCCTGAGCCCTTCTGAGTCGCGAGAGGAGATCCGATGTTCCGCCAGGGTGAATGACAGAAATCTGCTCGTGAGGGGGAACTGCCCCTCGAGCGCTGCGAACTGAGCGCACGCTCTGCTTCGGTCACCTACACCCGTCGGGGGGGTGAGTCCCGAGAAAAAGACACAGGTCAGTGGGGTTCATGCGGAAAGAATTTAGGAGAATTTCCGAGCAAAGGTAAAGAGATTCCTTTGGAGCAGCTGCCGAGCTCGAGAGAAAGGAAGATATGGAAAAAGTATGCTGTGAATGTCCTTTGTTTGCAACAAGGTTTTGGCTAATACGGAAATGTCACAGCAGAGACTTTTTCTGGCAGTTGAACTGCTGCTTCCTGGAGCGTGCTGGCACCCGAGGCCCCACCGGCGGCTGCTGGGCTTTATACAGACGCGCCGCCCGGGGCCAGCATCCTGGCTGTGGTCAGGGCCCTCGAGTTAGTTGGAAGAGCAGTGGGCATGGCCAAGGTCACGGGCTCTGGGGCCCCTGTCATTGCAGTCACTTCCCCCCTCAGCCTGGCCTCAGCCTGGGCTCCAGCCCCCACCCGTTCCCTCCACGCAGACAGTGTGTCTTTCGGGGTTTCTTCCCAGCGGAAAGCCCCAGGGACGTCCGTCCTCTCACCCCCGGGCCAATCCCGTCACCCTTCCTGCTGGAGGAGAGGACCCGCCCGGTCCTGCCTTCCCTCCCCGGGCGTCCGCAGGCGGCGGCAGCGGGCACATTTCAGGTCGCCCTGGGCAGAACGTGGGCAGTGAAAGCTCAGGCTGACTCGACCCTCTTCAGCCACAGGCAGCGCCTTCCATCCGTGTCGTGTGTAGATGTGAAAGGAAGGGAAAGTCAAGTCAAGAAGCCGAGGGAGCGGCTGCCTTCAGGGAAAAGATCTGGGGGTGTCACATGAAGCGTTGCTTAAGGCTCTACAAGAATGTGGTTCTTTGGGGACGTGTGTGTGTGCAAACATCGTGTCTGTGGCCACGGCTCAGGACTTGCCGTGTTGCCATGGGTGACGGCGAGGCTGAGAGTGGGAGGCCAGGGCCGGGAACGGGGCCCGGGAGGGTCCGCGCCAGCCCTGCAGCCCTCTCATTTCAAACCAAGGTGCCGTTCCTCGTGGGTGATCGACTAGAATGCTTAGGGTCAGGGTTTTTACGGAGAAGACGGGAGCTTCCGATGCGGTGCAAGGTTCTCAGGGAGACAAAGCTTTCCATGAGCCCTCCAGTCTGTGCCTGGGTGGGGCCCACTCGGCCCTTCTCTCTGTGAGAAGCCCCCGCAAACACGGTCTCCTTTAGCGCCTGCAGCAATCCTGTTACCTTGCCCCCTTTCACAGAGGAGGGCGCCCAGCGCCGGGAGCGGAGAGGCCAGGAGCTGTGCAGGGTGGGGACAGGAGCCAGGCAGTGTGACCTGCAAACACCCCTTGCTCCTCCGCCTCACTCCAGGAAGGCAAGGGGACCTGGGGGGCACGGCTCAGTGCGGCCGGGGCAGGGCTAAGGAGCCCCCTCCCCCACCACCCACCCGCCTCCCCCGCACCCTTCCCTGTGTCTCAGCCCTGTGGGCAGTTACTTAGTTGGCAGGCTCCCGGGCCAGACCTGGGGCTCTGGGCAGTCAGGTGGGAGTGAGAAGAACAGGCGGGCAGGGGTCGGGCGCTGGCCCCTCCTCAGCCCTGTGGCTTTGAGAGCCATTCCGAACCTGGTTTTCTGCTTGGGCAGGTGGCGATGGGCCAGGTGGGGATGGGCCGGTCTCTGACAAGGGGCTGTCTGACGGGCAGATGACACAGGCGTGCGCCTGGGACACAGAGGCTGCTCAGTAGTGGCCACCGCTCTTGGGGTTTGAGAGGAAAGCTTGCTTCTCCCACGCCCGGCCGCCTCTGCTCTTGGAACGTCCCGAGCGTTTGGGAGAATAGATTGGGTCGGTGAGTTCAACGCCAGCGAGAGGCATTTCTCATCCTTGTCCATATGTAAGGGTGTTTTAGGCGGGGGAGTCCCCTCTCCCCGGCTCTGGCGGGCACGGCCCTGGAAGAGCGAGTCCAAGGGCAGGTCCCGTGTGGATGCTGAAGCCAAAGCCAGCGAGGTCCGTATCTGCCGGGGAAAGCGGAGGTTCGGGAAGCCGCAGCCACCGGCAGAGGGCGCCCCGGGCCCGCCGAGCGAGCGGCGCTGGGGTTGGGGCGCCCCGGGTTGTGGGGGGCGCGGCGCGGGAGGCGGGCTGCAGCCCGGCATGGACCGCAGCCCTGGACGCGCCGGGGACCCGGGCCGAGAGCCGAGTGAGCCCTCGGGCGCCACGGAGCGCACGGGCCAGGCGCGCCGCTGCGCTACGTCCTGGCCGTGTGCGGTGAGTACAGGAGCGGGAGGGGACTTCTCACCCCAGCTGGGGGCACCTGGAGGCAGCGCGGGTCTGACTCCGACGCGTGCGGGCTGGTCTTGTGGTCGGTGTACCCGGGGAAGCGAGCAGCGTGCCGGCTCGCACTGGTCTCCGAGGAGGGCTTGTGGTCCGCCCCGGGAGGCGCCGGTGGTGGGCTGAGCTTCGGTGTCGGGCCACTCGCCCTGACTGGCGTTTCTAACGTCGGGATTTGTCTCCGCGCCCTGCTGCGTGCCGTCCGAGGGTCTGGGGTTCCTGGGGTTGGGGGAGGGGCAGCCCCGGGCGGGGAGTGCTCCCCCTGAGTGCCCCTCGCGCCTTTCGCCCGCAGCACCGTGCACCCGGGCGACCCAGGTGCGTCCCTGGCCGGCACCTCCGCCCGTCAAGTGAAGCCCCGCCCCCAGGCCAGGGGGCGGGGGCGCGGGGGCGCGGGGTGGGCTGTGCCCCGCGGGAATCAGCGGGCCCCAGCTCCCTGCGCGCCAGCTCGGCTCCGGCTGCCTCGTGCTCCCGCAGGCTGCTGAGAGGCAGTGGGCAGCGCCGCGGGAGGTGCGGGTCCCTGCCCCGCGGGGCCAGAAGCCCCCAAGGGGCACGCGGTGTGCGGCTCACTGGGGAAGGAAGCCACGGGAAGAAGCTGCCCAAGTGACTAATCCCGGAGATGCCCTTTCCCACGGCGCCGCGGGGCTGCCGGGAGCCTTCCCCCCAGGTCCTCTGCGCCCTGCATCCTCTCTAGCCGCGGGAGGCGGTGGGGCAGCGCTGGCTCTCTGGGGGCCCGGCCCGGGATCCTTTTTCCAAACCCTCCGGAAGATTTTTGCGCGTTGGGAGCCGAACCCAGAGTGTGCGTGCCTGCGTGCAGGGCAGGACTCGGGCGTCTCCGGGGCGCCGTGGAGCTCCGGGGGCTCTGAGGGAGGCTCCCCGGAGGCAAGGTAGGTGGCCGGGGCACAGTTGGATGGATGGGGCTCGACTGGAGTCAGGATCAGATCTGCTCAAGTCTTGGCGATCTTCACTTTTCAGGGTTTCGGGGAGCTGCCGCGGAGCCGGGGTGTGAGGAGCCAGGCATGTATTTTCAGCTGCGCCTCAGCCCCGAAACGTGACTGCGAGTGACTAGCTGGGCAGAGGCCTCCCGTCTCTGGACTGCTAGCTTAGAATATGCTAAAAAGCCAATGCCGCCCACGGGGAATTGAAGGGCCAGCCGGTGTCAGTGACAGTGACAGTGACCTGGAGCGAGGGGGTCAGAAGACAGACGTAGAGAGCGAGAGGGACTTTCCCAGGGGATGGCCCGGATCGCCGAGGGCAGGCTGCTGCCACGCCACGGCTGCAGCCCTCTGATGGAGTTCCGGTGAGGCCTCCCCCCGGGGGAGCAAGCGGGACCGTGCACGGGGCTGCCGGGTGACTGAGGACTCCCAGGGGTCTGGCTGCGCGCCCCCCCCCGGCCCCTGCTAGGGAACTTGAGGCACGTCACAGCCCCCCCCCCGGGCACGCTCCCCCAGCAGCATGAGGACTCTGAACACTTCCACCATGGACCGGGCCGGGCTGGTGGTCAAGAGGGACTTCTCCTTCCGCGTCCTCACGGCCTGTTTCCTGTCGCTGCTCATCCTGTCCACGCTCCTGGGGAACACGCTGGTCTGCGCGGCCGTCATCCGGTTCCGGCACCTGCGGTCCAAGGTGACCAACTTCTTCGTCATCTCCCTGGCCGTCTCGGATCTCCTGGTGGCCGTCCTGGTCATGCCCTGGAAGGCGGTGGCCGAGATCGCTGGCTTCTGGCCCTTCGGGTCCTTCTGCAACATCTGGGTGGCCTTCGACATCATGTGCTCCACCGCGTCCATCCTCAACCTCTGCGTGATCAGCGTGGACAGGTACTGGGCCATCTCGAGCCCCTTCCGGTACGAGAGGAAGATGACCCCCAAGGCAGCCTTCATCCTGATCAGCGTGGCCTGGATGCTGTCCGTGCTCATCTCCTTCATCCCGGTGCAGCTCAGCTGGCACAAGGCCAAGCCCACAGGCCCCCCCGATGGCAACGCCACGTCCCCGGGCGAGACCACGGACAACTGTGACTCCAGCCTGAACAGGACCTACGCCATCTCCTCCTCCCTGATCAGCTTTTACATCCCCGTGGCCATCATGATCGTCACCTACACCAGGATCTACAGGATCGCCCAGAAACAGATCCGGCGCATCTCGGCCTTGGAGAGGGCGGCGGTCCACGCCAAGAACTGCCAGACCACCCCGGGGGCGGGAAAGCCCGTGGAGTGCTCGCAGCCGGACAGCTCCTTCAAGACGTCCTTCAAAAGAGAGACCAAGGTCCTGAAGACGCTGTCCGTGATCATGGGCGTGTTCGTGTGCTGCTGGCTCCCGTTCTTCGTCCTGAACTGCATGGTGCCCTTCTGCGGGTCCGGGGAGACCCAGCCCTTCTGCATCGACTCCATCACCTTCGACGTGTTCGTGTGGTTCGGCTGGGCGAACTCCTCCCTGAACCCCATCATCTATGCCTTTAATGCCGACTTTCGGAAAGCGTTTTCCACGCTCTTAGGGTGCCACAGACTGTGCCCGGCGACGAGCAACGCCATAGAGACAGTCAGCATCAACAACAACGGGGCCGTGGCCGTCTCCAGCCATCACGAGCCCCGGGGCTCCATCTCCAAGGACTGCAACGCGGTGTACCTGATCCCACACTCCGTGGACTCCTCCGAGGACCTGAGGAAGGAGGAGGCCGGCGGAAGGGCCAAGCCCTGGGAGAGGCTGTCCCCGTCCCTGTCTGTCATTTTGGACTATGACACGGATGTCTCTCTGGGGAAGATCCAGCCCCTCACGCAAAACGGACAGCACCCCACCTGAACCCTGAGAGGAACCCCCCGCCCCCCGCCGGCCACACTCATCCCCGAAGCTGGAGGCGGTCTCCCGGGGGCTGGCTGTTAAGACCCTGAGGGGAGCCTCAGACGCCAGGTGAGCCCTCCTCCGCTGCCGGTCCTCCAACACACAGCTGGCCGTGTTTCCCGTGTTCTTCCTCGTGAGTCCGAGGGCACGCATGTGAAGCGAGTGTCCCTGGGGGGGCCGTGTCCTGGGCTCCAGAATCACTTCTCGAAACTGATTCTCATCTTAGGACTCAAACTAGGGCAAAGAACCAACAAGGGTCCGAGTCACTTACACGTCGCTGGCCCTTTCTGGACGGGCGTGAGGAGGGGGAGGCGGCTGTGGACAAACAGGTGCTAGCCCTGGCCCGGGCACAGCTGTCAGGCGGGAAAGGCGGGCGCAGCCCCCCCCACCCCGCCCCGTGCATGGTGTCTAAGAGAGAGCTGAGCCTTACCGTGCCAGTGGGGTGGTGTTCTTCAGAATCGGGAGATGCTTAGTGGATACTGGTTTTATTTATTTATTGTATTATATGGATATTTTAAACTTACTAGAGTACATCTATATTTATCCTATTTAATAGTATACAGTAGTGAGTTATCCGAGACTCTACAGTCACATTTTTGTCCATTTAACTAGCACTTTACGAGTCAGTGAGACGAGATGCCCTGAGACCCTAACTGCTCAGGCGTCTCTGCCAGGAGCACGGGGAAGACTGCTAGGGAGCGGGGTTGCGATGACTCCTTAGCGTCCCTCGTCATAATAAAACAGGAGAGGAGAGCTGAGAAATGCTGTGAATGTTTTTTTTTCCTAAACAATTTGAAAGACTTCTCTTTTTTAAAAAAGCATAGTTCCTATTGGATTCAGAGTTTTTTTTTTAAAATGACTAAGCCATTCCCAGGAGAGTAATTTCCAGTGCTGTAAATATCTTTTTAAAAAGCCAGCGTACAAAGAACCTAACTTGAAATGCATCGTCTTAGGTGGTGATAGAAACTAGGCATTACTTTGTATTTATGTAAAATAGCAGGCCCTCTCCATCCTTCCTTACTCCACGTGTCGGGTAGCTTTTCGGAGCCGAGCCACGGCCGCCCTGGTTCGGCCTGTGCAGGGCAGACAGTGGGTCTCCTTACCCCTCGAGTCACCACAGCCTCAGCAGGGCACAGAGCTCGGACCCTGCGCCTGCCCCTCCCCAGGCCAAGCCACGCCAGGGCTACTTTTTGTGGGGCTGTCTTCTGGATTTAGAGATCTTTCTCTTTTTCTTTCTCTGAAGTCTCAGTGGTGAAGGTGGACTAACAAATAGTGCCTCGTGGTCCCCCCCCCCCCCCGCCGCCCCGGGAAGATGCTGCTGTCGGGAAGAACAGGGAGCCCCTCCCCTCGGGGGGGGTGAAGCATCCCAAAGCCGCCAGCATCTCCCTAGACAAACGCTAACCTCCTCTCTGTGCTTTGGACTCGCGTCCCCCCGTCATCACCAGGCCTGGAAAAAGTATCCCCATCACCCTCGAGAGCTACAAATCCGGGAGGGGGGGGTGGTGATGCATTTCAAGGGGATTTCTTTGAAACGCTGACAAAGTTTTCTTGTGGGGAAGCAATTTACTTCTCGTGTGGATGGACAGGGTCGCGGGAAAAAAAAGCTGCTGACAGCGATCTCCGGCATCCGGCCCCTGTGATGTAATGCATTGTGAATGTTTCTTAATGCTGCTGCCTGTGCGCTTTCTTACACACAATAAAATTATTTTGTGAACGCAAACCGACCCTGGATGAGCTGTGTCGCATATTTTTTTTAAAAATGTGTTTTACACACAAAAACTTTTCAGACCTCCCAGTGAGAGAAAACATGGACGTCTTCAAGTATAGGCTACTTTCTTCTTGTTAATGTACAGCATGTGTTGCCTTTGAATGTTTAAGCAGGAGAGGCTTTTGACTTGGGCTCTATACTCTTGTTTCCTTCGGTCTTAAAGACTTTTTTATTTTTTTAAAAGAAAGCCTTCTTCCCTTGTAGAGAGGAATCACTGTATTTTTCATTGCACAGATTTGAAGGATTGCTAAAAATCCCCGCCTTTGCTTTCAACGTGCCCAAGGACTTTAAGCGATGCAAAAATTACCAAAAAAGATTGTGGCTTGCTAGTGGGTTGTTTTAGACTCTTAGCTTATGGCTACTGGGTGTGTGGTGTTTGTTTTGAGGGTAAATAGAACAGAATTTTTTTTTTTCTGGAGAAAATATACAGGTTGCAATGCTGGGCTTATCAAAATGTCTCACGGAGCACATCCGTGGATCCTGCTAAACCTGATCAGTGAATGTGCTAACCACCCCCCCCTTTTTTTTTTCATCCTGAAGAAGAATGCCTGAATAGCAGGTGATGCAGACACGAAGGGTTAAGTTTGTAATTTGGAACATCGCACAACAGATGGTGTGCCTTTGAATTCCGCATTCGCCACCCGGGCTCCGGCAGATAATGAACATGTCTAGAAGGGACGCCCGGGGAGTGTGATGCCTTTTATTCCTGCCTCGCACCTTTCCGGGTGTCTTTATTCCTTGCCGTTCGATTTCGTGTTTTTTTTTTAACTCGAAGTCCGGCAATGCCAGCTACAACGTCGAGGGTTGTCACTGCCCAGCCGGTGGTGGCACGCGGCACAACAGCCTTCGCCATTCGTTTTGTTGGCAAAGAGTGGAAAGTACCGATGCGTCTAGAAATTGTGTTAAACAGTCCAGTGTCCCGTGGCCAGGGCTGCGCTCTGGGTCCCTGGCACGCTGGATGGATAAAGGGCATCTTTTGAAATGTCAGCTCTGCTGAGAGAATCTGTCAAGAGAATTTCATTGACAACCATCAAAGCAGAATGACAGGATGACTTTCATTTCATTTTTAACTATACTAAGAATGAGCCTTCTTAATGCAACCTATCTGTGCAAGACTCCAGCAAGACAGAGACTGTTTAAAGGGGCGTTCTGTTTCCCTCTCCTGTCCGAGGAGATGCCGTTCTCGGTGCAGGGCTCTTGCTGGTGAGAGTGATGGGGAGCCTGGAGGAAGGGGGGCCGAACCCACGGGGCTGCAGTCCGTGGATTCGGGGTGTATGTAGGGGCGTCGCTGATTTCTCTTGGGGTCTAAGCAAGTCGCAGTGCCGGAGGCTCAGTTGCCCCAGTCCAGCAGATGGGAGGAGCCATGACTCTGCGTGGACCTCTCGGTAGGGGAGCACTTCAGAAAGGACACCGACACCCAGTCCGACCTCGGTGACTTTCTGAATGCTCCCTCCCTGGGGGCCCCATCGCGCTGTCACCCCAGTCTGCACCAGCGCCCTTTCAGCCTGCGCCTGCGGCGCCCCTCAGAGCCGGTCCACACGGGAGGGTCTGGAGCGCAGGAAGCCCAGCGTGGGCTCTGCTTTGCACGCCACTGTCACGCTGGGTGAGAGTCCACGCACGCATGTCTGGGCCTCTCTGAGCCTGTTTGCTCGTTTCCGGAATGGAAAGACACAGGCGGGCTCTCGTGGGGGTCTCTGCAGCTACCGTCTGACAGGGCGCTGAGCCCTGGGCCTGGGGGCTTGTGGACGCTGGGCGGGGTCCCTGCTGCTGTGCGGGGGTTGATGGCGGAGGCGCCCGGTGGTCACGGAGCTGCTCTGCACCTGCCTCCTCGCGCTTCTGCCTGAGGCACATGGAAACGACCCGGAGAGAACAGGTGGTTTGGGACCCTCCCAGACACCATCTCCTCTGGCCGTAGTTCGTCTGCTGTTCCAGAAGCCGGCGGCTTTGGACATCTAATGTGGTTAAGGCAGTTTTCTTCATGGCCCACTAGACAGTGACCGAATAAGCCTGCCCACAGCATTTCCATCCGAAACCTACCTGCCTTGCAGCAACCGTTTCCGGAATGACCAGCTGACGGCCGGTCCGCTCTGGGCTGCGAGACTAGGACCGGGTGCTGCTCGACCGAGCGACTGTGGTCTTCTGAAGGTCGGTGGGACCCGGAGGGTCACGAGGCTGCCGTCTTCGGCAGGTTGGATGCACTCTGTGGATTCCTTCGGGGTTTCCTGGGCAGACCCGTGGCAGGTCGGCCTGTCCCTGTCTTTCCAGAGAGCCCCCCGCGAAGACCTGGTCACCAGGCCGGTCCAGCGCTGTCGCCCCCGGTCCTGTTGGGTGACTCCCACGTGACGTGTGGGGTGTTCAGTTAAAGCAGCATTTGGCCTCGAGGCTGTGACATCCTTCCGGATCTGGGAGCTGTCATTTAAATAGCATTAGGGGCTCAAGGGGAATCTCTGATTTAAAAGGGTTTCATGCTTTAATCACTAGGAGAGGATGTATAAAACCAGTTAAATGTTTCTCTCGTGCTGGAAGAATGGAAACTCTCCCGGCTCTCCACATTGGTCGGTGTTTTCAGCCGCTGGAAGGGAGCTGCCCTGAGCTGTGTCCGCCTCCCGGGCTGCCACCGGCAGAAACGCCAGCAAGGCGACAGGGGCTGGTGGCTCTGGTGGTGGGTCCTCGGAGGCTTGGATTGGAAGGCAGAGTTGTTGTTTTTTTTTTTTAAAGATTTTATTTATTTATTTTTAGAGAGGGAAGGGAGGGAGAAAGAGAGAGAGAGAAACATCAATGTGCGGTTGCTGGGGGCCGTGGCCTGCAACCCAGGCATGTGCCCTGACTGGGAATCGAACCTGCGACACTTTGGTTTGCAGCCTGCACTCAATCCACTGAGCTACACCAGTCGGGGGGAAGGCAGTTTTTATTTCACCGAGAAAAGATAAAGAGCTTGGGTAAACCACAGTCCTTGAAAATAAGGCTTTTCAGCTCAACAATAACGGGGCCAGAAGAAATTATTTTGGAGATGTTTCTGGCCTGGCGGGACGAGACAGGAGACCCCTCAGGGACTGAAGAAGGGCCTGATGGGTCTCCCCTGACAGGTGTCCAGAGTACCACCCCCCATTCCCGTTGCCGTAGGAAAGCGAAAGAGAGTTATTTATAAAATGCAAATACAAAAAATGCAAATGCAATACAAGAGAGTTATATATAAAATGCAAGAGTTATTTATTAAATGCATTGCATTTGCAAATGCAAATACAATGCAAATAAAAGTGTTATGCCCTCGCTTAACGCTCTTTGATGACTCGCAGTAACCCGCAGGAAGAGAGTATCGAGTGTGTGCAGGCGCCCCGGGGGCTTTCTCCCTGGTCACGAGTACGCTGGCAGTGGACGCCGTCTCATTCCTCAGACCCTTGTTGGACGAGTGAAAGAGCGAGCGAGTGGAAACGGGGGACGCGGGAGCCCCGATCTTGGTGAGGCCTGGCCCCGGGCGGGAGGCGTGCGTGGGTAGGTCGGCCTGCCAGCCTCTCCCCGACGTCCGGGGGCACAGCCTCCGCTTGCTCTCTGAGGCCTGCCGCTGCCTGGGGCGGGACGCGGTCGTGTGGAGGTCATCGTGCACACACACGTGTATATATACACACACAACCGTGTGTGTTTGCGTACATCATTGACGCCCATCAGTGACCTGTGGTGACCGCATTCCCTGGTTCGGGCCGCGTGCCGGGTGCTAGAGAGGAACCGGGCGCTGTCCCCATGCTGGAGGAGTTTAAAGCAGAGGCGGGTGTGCCCACAGACCCTCACCAAAGAGTGCTTTTACAGTGAAACGGGTGGAGAGAGAAAATGTGCTCTCCCAGGCGATGCCAATGGCTGTGCTCCCCTGGGTCCCAGCGGCTGCCTCCCCGGCGGCTGCCTCCTCAGCTCCGTGCCAAGCACCTGCCATCCATCACCTGGTGCCATTTTCACAGTCTTCCTGGGAGGGGGGCATCGTGCTCCGCATCCCCATTCACCCATTTCACAGACCGAAATAAGGAATGTTCAGAGAGGGCGTGGCATGTGTCCAAGGCCGCACAGCCAGGAAAACACGGGGTGGAGGGGGGGTTTGAACGGGGCCTGCCTGACTTGCAAGCTTATTATTATTTTTGGGGGGGTCATAAACCTGCTCTGTTCACCAGGAACTAGTCCTAATCAAGTGAGTAGCTCGATAAGCAGGTTTCCAAATCACCTCAAATATTGGTGGATGGAAAATGCTTTCTTTTATGATTGGCACTCGAATTGCATGCAGACATGGATAATAAAACCCCGTGTATCAGTTCCATCGTCGAGGCTGGAACACTCATAAGACTGTAGGGATGGTCTTTGAGCAGTCACAATAGGAGGTCGGTGTCCTTGGACAGAGCACAAGGTCGAAGCCAAGAAGACATTTATTTCTCCCAGACGCCACTCTGTGGGGTCACAGATAAAGAGAATGAGGAGGCGGCTTGGTCCAGGGTGGAAGCGCTCTGCGTTCGGGGACCAGTTTGATCAGGGCACGCCCGCTTTAATTCAGCAGGTGTCCGTCTACACGTGTGCTGCTGTGGGAGGGGCGGAGCGGAGGGGTGGGGAGAGGGCAGGGCAGGGTGGGGAGGATGCCTGGTGAGGAGGGGTCGGTGCTGCTGGGGGGCATGGCGTGTGGGAATGGGGCGTGGGTGGGGAAGGCAGGGCGCGGAGGTTGGCGTGAGGGCTGGACGGGAGTCTGGCGCAGACAGACGGGGAGGGAGAGCAGTCGGGGTGGGAAGTCCGGTGCCTGCAGACGAGGGGCTGGGGGACACGCTGGCCGGGATTTCTGGGCACAGGGCACGGAGCAGAGAGTGAGTTTAAACTCCGCAGAACGATTGGTCCTGATGAGGTCTCACAGGCAGGCGGATGAATTGCTTTGGGGCACCTCTGCCCTCTGCAGGGCCCCCCCTCGGTGCGTCTCG